GTCCAAGTTGCGAAATTTTTCAAGCCATTAACGACAACAACAATAAGAATGGAAGCAAGATGAGTACTTTGGATGCCGTGTCCCCATCTTCAACCCACTGAGTCATCTGTGACCCTTGAACCTCCCCACACACACGCACGCACACACACACGCACACACACACACACACACACACGCACACACACACACACACACACACACACACACTGGCAGAAGGATAACGGAAAATAAGAGTGATGGAACAGGAGAAGGAGGCGAGTGACACGAACAGAGGGAAAGTGGTGTTTGTCTGTGTGTGTGTGTACGTGCGTCACCAAGTTTTGGCTACATTAAATTCTTTGTTTTTTTTCCTTCTTTTTAAAAAGTAACTAATAGCACATTTCGACCGCAGCAACACTGTAGTCATCTCAATTACCTTGCACAATTTTTTATGTACAGTAGTGTCATTTGAATTTTGGGGTGATTTACAGTGATGACATATTTTTTACCGGCTCAACTGTACACCTTTCTCCAGTAGTGTGGGAGTTGTACGTTTGAGGCTAGTCTTATTTCAACCTGCATGACTTTTTTAAGTATCATGGCTGTCATATTTTAACCTGGACAAAGACTGTCATCTTATTCAACACGAACAACCGTATGGGGGATTTTACGGTAACTTTTGTTCACCATTTGCAACTATTAAAGGCGATTTACAGTCATCTCATTTGGACCTGCCCAATTTGTGGATCATTTACATTTGTGCAAATGATAATTAGGTGTCCATTTTCAAGTCTCAGTTTCACTCTGCAGCCTTTTGGAGATAATGATTGGCCTTTTTGATGTTCTTTGAAGGTGCCGTCACAGTAAAATGAAATGAGGTGTAAAATGAGGCCTGTCCAGGTAGGAGCAGCCTTTCAAGTCTCATCTGTGAGGGATATAAAAGGCAAAGCGTGTTGACATCAATCCTGAGCCGGACTTTTCCGGCCCGCTGAACCCACAAGAGTTCTCCCGGCCGGGTTGCCGTGGCAACGGCGCGAGTGTGTACCTCACAGAGGCTCGGACCGCTCTCGTGTCCTTCTCCTCTCCCGGGTGAGCTTCAATTACCGGCAACACGTTCCCCCCAGCGCGCCGCTGGCCTATTATGGTCAAAGGAGCGGCGGCGGTGGGCCGGGAGCGGCATCTCCTCTGCACTAAATCTCGCCGCGTTTGTCTCGTGCTCACGGCGCTGTGACAGACCGGGGTCAGCGGGGTCTGGCCTCCAGGTGATGTGTTTCCGTACGGCCCGGGTGGTGAGGAAATGCACATATATGGCATGCTCTTTATTTACTAGTTTTGACTGTGAGACTGAAACACTGTCTTTTTAAAATGCTCTACTGTCATTCTCGTGTTGCCGGGCTTCAAACGAACGTCTGGACACCAAGGTGAACTTGCCACACAGGAAATTCAGCGAGGCTTTAACGTGCTTCCTATGCAGACAGCGAAGGAGGAGTGAAGGAACGTATGGGGGGTGGGGGGGGGGGACATCTTCAGGTGCCGCAAAAAGAACATTACAAAATGCGTTTTGGGCTCCTGGTCCACACAGGAAATATTATTCTTGCCACAGTAAATGCAATCTCTTCCACAGCTAGTCACTACTTGTGTGATTACTTTAAAGCTTGACACCACGCCTCAATGCCAATTCGAGGATCAGGATTTCTGGAGCCTACGTGCACCGCGAGCTTTGCAATCAAGGTGGCACAAACCGCAGCGTGGGTGCTTGTTTTGTTTTAATTCAGCACAGCAAATTGTCATCGGTGCTCTCTTTCAAAAGTCGTCAGCTTGTGGTTGATGACACAGCTTTCGCCTCAAGCTGATTGGACGTGAATAGCATTCTTGCGTCATTTTCACAACCGCTAGATGGCGCTGCTGCATCGACGACGGTCAAGAATTACGTCACAGTTTCACTTGATGTATAACAGAGAATCGATGATGGATGCTGAATACTTTTATGATAATTAAAATTGAACAATTACTCCCAAAAGGATCAGATAATTTAAATACGAGGGGCAGAAAGGAAACAATGACGTAGGAAAGGAATTAACGATTGATGCACGGTGGGATAGAAAGAAGAATGCAACCTAGCGATGATGGAGGGTCGGAAAGAATATATATATAATACAATACATGTAATTTTAACAAAGAAGTGGAAATTAATTCGAATCAAGCATGATTAAAGCATATGCGTGGTGACTTTTGTCCCTCTCTGTCGGACTCAGTCAATGTAAAATGGAGGTACTGTACAGCGAGAGCAGGCGTCGCAAAACGTTGCCGCAAATCCGCACCCACGGTCGCGAAATAGCCCTGATGTTCCGCCCGTGAAGCCCCGTCGGTCTCTCCGTACAGCAACCTAGCTGAAGACGGTAATGTCCGACACCTCAATGCGCCGCTAAACCCAAAATAAACCACTGTGAAACCTTTTCAAAGTAAGCGTTGTGTCCTGTGTATTCCAGAAACATGCCGGCGAAAGGTCCTCTGCAATCTGTCCAGGTTTTCGGCCGCAAAGTAAGTCAAAAGTGATGAAACGGGCTCACGTGTGGCGTTGCGGCTAAAGCCAGTGTGGCCTGGGTACAATTAGCTCGCTAGCATCTACCAAGTTCTTTCGTCATGTTCTTAACATTGACACATTATTTTACAATTGCATCAACACGCGAGTAATTGTTATATAAAATTACACTAATACATGTGCTTATTGTTGGGAAATTCTAAGCAATAACGTGGAATTCTGCTTAGTTTGTTACTAGCCGGCTACGCCGTACAACAGCTTTTTCCATGAATCAAAAACCTCACTGCATTTTTATCTTGTAATTTGTTGTCTCGTAGAAAACCGCCACTGCAGTCGCCCACTGCAAGAGAGGCACTGGCCTGATTAAAGTGAACGGCAGACCTCTGGAGATGGTGGAGCCAGCCACCCTCCAGTACAAGGTGAGCAAGTCCCTTGTACATAAATGTTGAATATGTATTTGATATGAGATAAAAGTGGTTGCGTCCCTCCTTTCTCGTGTAGCTTCTGGAGCCCGTGCTGCTGCTGGGGAAGGAGCGTTTCGCTGGAGTGGACATCCGAGTCCGAGTGAAGGGAGGCGGACATGTGGCGCAAGTTTACGGTAAGCAAAACATTCACATTCGAAGTTTTCCACACATTAAATGGCATTTTTATGCCTTCCAGCCATCCGCCAGGCCATCTCCAAATCTCTGGTGGCGTACTATCAGAAGTGTAAGTTGATCACGACAACACAAATAGTCATTTTTTCCGTCTAGTTACATTTTTAAAACATTTTCTTCCCCTCCACCCGCAGATGTGGACGAGGCTTCCAAAAAGGAGATAAAGGACATCCTGATCCAGTACGACAGGACTCTTTTGGTTGCCGACCCACGCCGCTGCGAGTCCAAGAAGTTCGGTGGACCCGGAGCCCGCGCTCGCTACCAGAAGTCCTACCGTTAAAGGCCGTGTCCATTTTCCTTGTAATAAAAGTGGAGTTGAACCCCAGAAAAGTGATGTTTTGTCCTGTTATGTGTCGAGTTGTTCAGAATGGTGGAACGTGTCATAACACAGTTATATTAAGGATGTCAACCCATGTGACAATTGGGTGGAAGGAGGGAGGGGCAAACTGACAGATGAACAAGGTCATTTCTAGATGAGGTACATTTAAAAATGCATACAAATGTTTTGATTTATGAAACAACTATTGTCTCAGAAAATATGTCAAACATTTAATTCAATAGATAAATGCTGCTCACATAAACTAACAATTTTCTAATCCGCTCATCCTCTTGAGGGTTGCGGGTGTGCTGGAGCCTTTCCCAGCTGTCTGAGCAGTAGGCAGGGGACACCCTGAACTGCCTGCCAGCCAATCACGGGGCACAAATACACACTCACAATCACATGAGAAAATGAAATTAGGAAATGCTTGCCGGCTGAAAGAACGCAGGCCATACTTTGCACATTGCCGAATAGAATTTTGCTGTGTATCATAAAACAATGTTCGGCCAGTTAGTTTATAAATGCCAAAAAGACCATTGACCAGAGCTTGGTCTTGCTCTTTCAATGTTTCGACGGCAGAGGGAGACAAAGGACACTTAAAAAAAGGGGAGCCCAGAACTGCATGACAGGGTACCAGCAAATTTCTTAAAATATTTGTTGTCAATTTTGATGCAGTTATTTTATCAGAAATGTCTACATTACAATGAAATCAATTGCACGTGATTAAATAGAAATCAGAATTAATTATGAACACCATTCTGGATTTGAATGTATAAAATAAAGATGAATTTTTAAAGTGTATGTAAAATAGTTTTCAGAGTATGCTTTATTCAATGAAAAAGACAAATGTATATATATAAATGGTAATTTTTGGAATTTATTCTTTAGGGTTTTTTTTAGCTTATGTGCAAATGGTTTGGCCCATCTGTCCGTTTTTAAAATGCAGTGTGTCCCTTGAGTACAACAGTTTGGCCAGCCTTCATCATGATGAGCTGATGCCCAGATGTTGCTACTCTCTCCGCAGCAGAAGTGACGCTAGAGAGTGGCGAGTGTGGGAGATTGGGTTAACTGGTGGTGGCGGTGGGGAGCCCAGGGGGGTGGGG